TTCGCAATTTTCTCACAGAGCTTTCCCTCTAGATATCGTTAAGGCATGTGTTTAAGCGATAACCTACTTTATGAAATTGATATGAGCACGCACTTGGTGGGCTGAGGTGGTTTCGGCAAGGAACTTTATCCTTCCGTGTCACTTGCGCTGCAAGTAATGAACCTCACCGCAGGAATGCAAACCAAATCGTATCGTTCGTGTGGTGAGGCGGATAATTGATGCTGAGGTCTATATATCACTCTGCGTTGGTTTGCCGATCAATGCATTCATCGCCCCTTTTGCCGGAACATCCTGTTAACTGTTCCAATTCATTGAGTGCAAAGGGAGGCAATTACTCTGCGTGTATCTCATCTCAGAAGGTGTCTTTGAAGGATTCACTGTGAAGTCTCAGCTTCTCCTCGTCACTGACTGCTCTCAGCTGAGCTCAGAAGCGTGGATTTTGTGGGTGTGGATTCAAGGGGGAGACAATATGCCCTTAATCTGTACACCACTTCCTCACACTTCCACAATTCCTCTGCAGAATATTCAACACTTCAGACACTTCTGAATGCTTTTAAGGGCATTTTCTGTCGCTTTTCAGGGACTTTTACTTTTATTTCATTGATTTATTACATTGATTTCTAAATTATCACAATCTAATTCAGGTTTTTCCGGCTCAAGAAGTTAAAGCTCGTCAAATGTTAAGATTTTAGAATGTAGAGAAACTTCTGTCTTAATTTTATAGTTTCGTCTTCGGAAGATGTTCAGAAAACTCTGACCAATTTGTGAAATTATAAATACGACCTTAAAATTCTGCTTAAACTAATTTTAATCCTTTCAAACCCAGAAATGAGTAAATATAGCGAATTTCTCAATATTCCCACTAAATAATGAGGATAAATTTGCCACGTTAAAGCTTAAACGAAGGAAAAAATTAAGCAAATTGACATTTTTCTACACAGAAATGCTGTTTTTGAGGTTATGATTGACTTTTATACATTTTCTCAACCAATATGAATGAGCTTTAAATACAAATTTGATTATTTTGAGGGGTTTTTAATCGCCAGAATCGATTTTAAATTGATCAAACTAAAAAAAAACAATAAGATTCATTTTAGTAAGCGAAATAATTTAAACAAAGCATTTATTTGTTGAAACTGAAGATTTTGCAGTGCAAATATTCTCCCACTTTCAATTCCTTACGCTTCCGACCATAATATCTGTCCCTTGGTGGGATTCTTCCTCAGAGAAAAAAAACACCCCTCGAGGAAAAATTGTGCCAATGATGCCAATGTAGAGAGTTATTGTGAGTGGGAATTTATCACTTTCACACGGTGTGTAAAATTGAATTGGAGTCGGAAGTGCAAAGCGTGAGGAAACCATGTGAAATCACACCCCTTTCATTCCGCGGGGGAGTTCAGCGAGGGTGTGTGTCTGGGAAGACGGGCTTATCTCTGCGTTGTGACGGAAGTGCGATGGTGTGAGTTTGTGTTCATATATGATTCTGTGAGTGGCAAAAATCCCATTTCCTCCCCGCCAAAGAATATTACTCAAGTATGTGAATATCAATGACTTTCCTATTCACACGTCATGCATGACAATTTTCCCTCAGAACGCCAGGCTGAAGTGCACACGACCTGCGTGGGGGTTGTTAATATGGATTTTGACTGTCTTTAGAATCTCGCGTCTCCGCTGCATCGCGATTCGTTTCGTCATTTCCAAGAACGTTCAAAGTTAAGATTTTAGTAAATATTCTGTGTGGGAAAATGAAGGAGGAAAATATATTTTACGCCTCAAATTGTCTCGTTAGGAGAAATTTTCGGTATGAAGATCGATTTTAGAGCGTTGAGAGAATTATTTCAACCAGTTTTAAGATCATTTACAGAGATTTTTAGAATGAATTCTTGGAAAAGGAATTATATTCTATAAATACTTATAGAAAAAAGTATAAATTTGTGTTTCAATACAGAAATTTGAAGATTTGTGAAGAATATATGAACGAATTAAGGACACTTTACGGTTTTTGCTCTACTCTTGATTACAGATTTTCGTCAGCATTATTAAAGATCTTCTTTTATGCAAAAATTAGGAGTTTTTTCCATTTTCACACTACTTTTTATCGCAAAACCTTGTGTAAAACCGTAAATATCCGATTAAAGAGAAAGTATTTAAGTATATTATTGTCTATTTACTTGTGTTTTGTGAAACAAATCAAATTTAGAATTTGAATTTGCATCTCGATCCAAAAGTTGACATTGCATCCCCGAAATGAGCAACCCCTTGATGTTTTATGACTGACGCGATCTCCTCAAAAACATGACATCCTCGCAGGCAGGAAATATGCATCTCATCCTACCCGCGAGTGTGATCAAAGAGCCCAGCAAATGCACCTCATTTGCTACATTCGCGCTCTGACAAGAGAATTTAATTAACCAAATGCCAGCGCAATGCGAAGAGAAATCATTATGAAAAACCATCTCTTCGCGGAGATGTAATGATTGCAATTACACTTGAAGGACAGGAAAAATAAACTCCATGTTAATTCTCGCGAGCATCCTTTTCGCCAAGTGATTCTCACAGGGCGTCATTACTTTTCCAGCTGCAAGTGAAAAGGCTCTTGTGAGAGAGAAATTGAAAGAAGAAGAGAAAAACCATCAAGCATCTCTGAACGGATGCAATTCCCTAAGTTTTCCACGGTTGAAACACAATTCCCACAGCATTACGGATATTTAATATATTTTCTCAACAGTCGCTGCTCTGCAGCTATTGAAATTCACTGGAATCATCAACACAGGACGCTTTTCCGCTGGGACTTTTGGGGAAGGAAAATTTCCTCAAGTAATTTCCAAGACATACTTTACTTACTAAATGCCACACTGTCAAAAATATCTTTCCAATATGAAATGTACAAGGGGGAGATATGGTGGCCAGAAATTGTGTACAGCTTGAGTATTGAGAAATAGAAGTATTTCAATATTTAAAAGTCTTTTTTTCTTGGAAATCCGCGCATTTCTTTGAATTTCTTCTGGTAATTTTGCCATAAAAAAATCAATCCTATAATGTTTTTATAGGTTATGTGATCAATTGATGCCAAACTAAAAGCGTAATTAATGTGAATCTTCAAATCTTTTCTATAAAATGTCTTCATTTGCACTTCTTGTGGCAAGAATTCGACTTTGATACTCCAAAAATCACAAACAATTATGAAAATTAAGTGAGAAAGTCGAACATAACCTCAAAAATATCTTTTTGTACTTAAAAACTGTTCTTTCCGGAAATTTTCGCTTCTTTTCACACGTTTGACATTTGAAAGAAACAGAAAAACACAGGAAAGATTCCTTAAACGAATTTATAACCTCAAAATTTAATGATAAATCACTAAAACCTCTCCTTTGAATAGAAATGACACCAGAGAATTCAAAAAGTGCCACAAAGAGAAGAAAACTCATTTGTTTAAAGCACTTTTGCAGTGCCTGCAGTGTTTGAAATTATGTAAAGGTTTCATGCATATTATCTGCCCCTTGAATTCGACTCTCGACGTTGGAATAGAATTTAATCTCGTCTGTATTTAATTTAATTGCCAAACTGTGTATGCAAATTGTGGATATTTTTAAAATACACGCGAAATCACTTCCTCTCAATAACATTGCATTGCGGCGAGTGTTTCGTCGACCACGAAATGCTTTTATGAAGAGTTTCACAGGTACTTGGCGTGAGATAAATTGCAGTCACACGCTCTGCGAATGGACGATAATGTGTGGGGGAAGAAAGGACTGAGCAGCTCCAAGTGGTGGCGAAAGGCGATGAATAAGCGAAATCGGATTAATTGGACCATTTGGGGGACTTTCGACGACCATGTTGAAGCTCATCGATTTGATGTGGCAATTGGAGTGAATGGCGAATGTATGATTGCTGCGGAGCCACGTTCGTGGACAATGGGGGCCGAAACGTGCGCCCAACACAGCTTCAACCGGCCAACAAAGGAGCGCCACCCACTTGGGCGCCGTGCAAGAATAGACACTGGATCGCCCGTGTGAGATTCTCTGTGCCCTCCAATTGACAACTGCCGTGGCGGCTCCATTGAAACGACTTAGTCAAATGATTGGATTCCCCAATTTCGGAGCGGTGCACGAGGACAGATAGAATTCATGCACACGAGGAATTATTCATCGCTCTGATTCCCTTGTTCAGCATCATTTTTCAATTTTGGAACTTGATTTGATAACACGCTGCAAAGGAAATTCAGCTGCTATTCTTAGAATCCTCCCGGATCTTCAGAAATAGGAACGCAAATTGTGAACCAGAAGTCACTTTGTTGAAGCTTTTAGGGCGTATAAAAATATAAAAATCAATGGGGAAGATAATACAATAAAGAACCTTAAAACTTCTCAGAACTTCAGATTTTATGGAATGTTTGTAGATTCAGGAGATTTTTCTACCATATTCGATGGTTTTCTGCTTTTAATTGCTTTTTTCAATGTTATTTTCGCAATTAGAATCTTTCAAACTCGAAATTTGGTGTTGTGAAATGAAAATTTGAGGTTATGTTTGATAAATTCTCTTAATTTGAGTGCAAATACACAATTCTACATGAGAATAATTCCGTTTTCAGCATAAAATTTCTATTTTAAACTCTTTTTTGATTTTCACAAGTCACATAACCTAGAAAATGTATGTCAAAATGAAGTATACTAATTTAATCAAACGACAAATGAAGGCAAAATCATCCGAAAATAAACTGAAATCTAACTTACAACAAAATACTTTGAGTTTAGATGCAAGAATTTCACCTTTAAGCTGTTATTGAGTCATTATTGAGTCATAAATCAGTCACATAACCTAGAAAGATTTGTGAAAATTGAGGCTTGGATAAGATTTGATCTGTAAAAGTGAAATAATGAAGATAAAATCAAAGCTGAGAATCAAATATTGCAAAAATTAAACACTTCCAAGACTTCCGCTGAGCTGTACACCAATTCCGACTGTATTATCTCCCCCTTGATGTAAATCTCCACGTCAAATGTGTGCACATAATTTATTAATGACATATTTCACTAACGCATTCCATTCTTAACCTTGTTGATGAGATTAAGAACCTTCGGTGGAACGTACTTGTCGTCAAGCTTGAAGAAGAGATTGTAGAGAAAAGACCAGACAAGCTTGCTGGTCTGCGAGAAGTCGATGCTGAACACGGCGCAGATCTTGATGGCCAAATCGATGCACTTCACGAATGTGGGCAATTTGTACAAAATGCCGCTGTAGAAGACGTAAAAGTGATTGATGGCCTTGCAATTTGGGCCGATGACGAAGATCCTGGGATGAATGGCGAACGGCTGATTCTGGATGAGCGTAATTCTCTCCTCCAGCTTCGCCGGCGTGTCCAAGCACATCACAAAGTCCTCCTGCGCCTCTGAGATTGATGGCTTCTTCCCGGACGCATTGCGAGCCGGCGGAATAAGGCAGTGAAGCAAGACGGTGAGCAGGAAATCCTTCGAATCTGTTTGGCGAAAAGCACACTTGTTGGTTTTCTGTGTCTCTAAAGCACGCTTTATGATCTCTCTTTCTCACCGAAAGCGATTTCGCTGGCAAAGTAGTCTTCGAAATACTTGTGATTCAATTTGTCTCTCGCCTCTTGGATGAAAATCGGCTTCATCACGATGTGGAGTTTGTGAAAGTTGTTAATCAAGTCAAACTTCTTGCCAGGATGTTGGAAATCAAAGTCAATTTCAATCTGCGGAACCAAAATTGCACCCCCCCAATTAATTCTATATCCCTTGCGGATGACGCTTCGCAACTTCCTCACCAGCTGGTGACCGTTGGCATCTCGATATCGTGGCCACTCGCTCAGGATGTCGGATATGTCGTCGCCCGTTCGCTCGCCAATCTCACTCCTCCGCAGCCTGGCAGTCTTTCGCCACTCGATGAAAATCGTCTCGCCCAGGATATCACTTTTGATCTTCTTCAGCCACACTTTGGACTTCTCCTCCTCCTCAGAACATCTGCGCGGCAGCTGACGCTCTTCTGCAACCGGAAAACCATGATATTCTTCAAGCGTTTCTTCCCCTCCCTGAATTATTTCGAGTTCGAGATTTGAAATCACTTTGTAATTTCCCTATTTTTTCCCCTAAACTCCCTCTTATCTCTTAATTTTAGACAAACTCTCGTTATTGAGCACGAAAAACCCGGTTTTTAAAAGTTATCAGTTCGTAAAAAGCAACTTTTCACATTTTTCCCGTACATTTTGTTTATAACTTGTAAGATTTATAACTGAAATGATGAGATTTTCTCAGCGAATAATGATTATGTGATTTTATTTAGAATTATTTACTAAGATTTCTTTTCATATTTGACATTTTTCACCATATAAAATTACGTTAAATAAATGTCTATAAATGTAAATAATTTATAGATACAAAACAACTAAAAATAAACACAGGAAAAATATTCATTTGTGTCAATCTCTAAATTAGACGTCGTTGCAACATTAGTTTCATAACACTTAAAATAGTCTGTTAAAAATATTCATTCGTAAAAAATGTTGCAAAATTGCAATTTATAACATTTATTAAACGTTTCAAAAGTCGATTCCTGAAGTAAAAGCAAAAAAGTCAAAAAATTCACGTGAAAATGAAGAAAATAGACAATATTGACGTTTCTGGTTAATAAAGACAGATTGTTCGGATTTATCTAGCCATTTATGTGTTTTCAGACATCCTTTGAGCCTTGCCAAGGAAATTGATTGATTTTCACCCGAAGATTCCTGGAAAAATACTCTTCACTAACACTAAAGAAAACATTCCTAACGTCAATGTGGAGGAAAATGAAGAGAAAATGGGCGAAAGTTAGAATATTCTGCCCTAAAAACACTCTTAAAATCGTCAAAAAATGGCTTTTTAACTGCTGAAATTCGTATTAAACTCCCAAACTTTGCCTTGCAACGCCTTTTCGTTCGTATTTCATTTCTACTTTACACTAGCGCCGCCAGGCGGCCGCTAAGATAAGCTATGAAAACGTAAAATTGCAACACAAATTCATAGCTTTTACGAACTGAAATATGAAATCTGTAATGTTGCAACGACTCGTTTAATTTTGCAAATAAATGAAATTTTAATTCAAGCATTCAGTAGATCTAATATTTCTCCTCTAATTCAATTAAATATCGACTAAAAATCTCAGAATCTCACCTCTGAAGTTGTTTATTTGAAGCGCAGGTGGACTTGTTTGTGTGCCATTTGTACTCTCTCTGCGTGGAAGCCTCAAGTTCTTGTAGTATTTCGTCTTGTAAGACATATTTCTGTACCTGTCGTACAGCTTTCCGGCTGAGTTCTTCTTCGCCGACACATGGCGAGGCATGTAGTAAGTTTCCTTGGACAAGCACAAATCCATCAGCAACGCGAAAGACCGGAAAAGAGCCGATGTTTACAGACTTACCATGGTTTCCGTTGGGAAGAGCTTCACGATCTCCGCGGCGTAGTTCTCGAAGATGCTCTGCGACATTCGCTTCTTGGACGACATGTGGAAGTCGATGATGATGTGCGCCAGGTAAGATTGCTCCTTGGACGTCAAGTAGCCGTTCTTCGCGTAGTTGGACAGGATCTGCTGTCCTTTGGCCGTGCGCCGCAGAATCCGGTGCAGATTGAAGTGACTGCTGTCGATGGTCAGCGGATCTTCGGGCGGGAGGAAGGCTGCTGGCGAAGCAGGAGGAAAAGTCCTTTCCGGCGACACTGCGCCAGTTGTTGAGCACTGAGAACCCATCGAACAGCATCCCAGCGGAATGCCCTGAAATCACACACACCCAGAGAGTCACTCTCAATCCCCGTGAACATCCCGGATCGGGAGACTCACGTTCTGCCCCAATCGCCACTCCTGAAGTCTGCTGGTGAACAGGATTTTGTCCCCAATCAGTTCATCCCTCGCGAACACGCTGTCAATGTGGTGATGATGCATGCAGCGCAGGTGAAGCTCACTCCTCACGCCGCAGAAGAAGAGCCTCTCGATGGCCTCGGGCTGAAGTCCCCAATCCAGGAACAGACTTCTGGCCGCATCGCAGAAGTCCAGCGAGTTGTCCTCCGAGAAGTTCTCCTGCACTTGAACGTGCTCGTAGAAGAGATTTGGCGACTCACAAACTTCCCTCTTCACGCTCGTCAGCATCGCCATGCCTTCGCACTGCGAAGCATCCCTGAAATCCTGCATTTCCTCCACGGCGGATCGCCCAAAAGTTGTTTTGGAAAGTCAAACAAATCGTGCAAAACACTCTTGTTTTCACGCTTTCACTGACATTTGTCTCCGATCACGCCGGCGGAACCATAAAATCATCGCTGCGCGTCTCGGCTGTCATCCAATGCACACGTTTTCCATAAAAATTCACAATTATGGACATTGAGCCAAGACAGCTCGTGAAACACTGCTGCAATGTTTCAAAAATTCCATTAACCCATGAGAAATGGTGTTTCGGCGCAACAGAAGTCTTGGGAAGTGGAAGTGATCAAAAACTTGCGTTATTCCTTTTCTGAGCACTTCTTTTACTGCCCAATTATGCGGATTCTTTGAATTTCTTTTCATTTTTACGTAGAAACAATCGTAAAAATCCTTTTCTAAAGTTATGCCAAGGGCAGATTTAGTGAATAATTCGCATTTTAACACATCAATTCCATCAATTCTTATCAAGATTCTTATATTCAAGTCCAAGAGATTGTTAGTGATAGGCGAAATTAGGCATTTTCGGGCAGAAAACACTGCTTTGTTGAATCTTTGAAGCCAAGAAAGACAGAAAATTGAGTTGAAATTGAATATAACCTCAAAAAGAACATTTTCCTGGACGATTTTTACTCTAAATCTGATTCTAAATGAGGTTTTAAAAGATCTTCTAGCGATATTTTGAGGTTATGGTCAGAAAAGATGTCTAAAAAAGCGTTTTTAGGTGTATTTTCTCAGACATATCGAATGAAAAGTTAGGAGATTCATTATAATTTGACAATCAGTAAGCAAAAAGTCTAAAAAAAATCAAGTACTGAAAGTTTTAGGAGATTTTTGAGGAATATTTTGTCCCGAAAAAGAGTTAAATGGATTTTTTCAGCACTTTCATACGTGAAACGTCGTTGAAACATGGGTCAAACGGCGGTCAAATAGGCGTAATGGGAATAATACACAATGAATTGTACATTTATTTCATTTCTTTATTTACAAGACACATTGATAATATATATTTTCCCATTATGTACAAAATAAACTGTGAAATGTTCGATGTTTTTCTTGCTAAAAAAAACACTCTACATGATTTTTTCTTATCTCTGCCAACACTCAAAATCATTTGGGAGAGTTTTTTTCCACTCATTTTTTTTTGGTCACTCAATCCAGTCACGTTACATTGATCTCCTCGTCGCTGTCGGAGTTTGACTCGTATTCGTCGTAGAAGGAGGACATCTTGGCCTTGTCCTCGCCGCCGTCGGCCAGGAGCGGAGCGGATCCGTTGAAGCCGGAACTGTCGCCGTGCTCGTAGAAGCTGCCGAAGACTTGCGGCCGCTGCAGACGCGCGTCTTCCGCGAAGTCGAACTTGAAGCCGTCGCCAGAGTCTGTGGCCGGCGACTTGGGCGCCATCTCGAACTTGGGCTTCAGCTGATCGCCCTGGGAAGCCTTCGGCGAGGCGCTCTGGTGCGCGCCGTCCGCCGGCGACGACGGCGGCGACAGCGACGTGGTTCTGTCGCAGCGCGCGTCCGAGAGATCGGGATTGGGGTTGTTCTTGTTGGGCAGCGTCTGGTCGCGAGATCCGCCGCTGGCCAGCAGCTCGCGCTCCTTGGAGTTGCGCCACTTCATGCGGCGATTCTGGAACCAAATCTTCACCTGAAAACACCGACAAGATAAAGTCAGGTGAAACAATCAATTTATCTCTCCGCGTGTCAGATTAAATTTCTCTCGCGCGCGCATTTCGCCCAAAAATGTCGACGGGGAACCTTTCCAAACATTAATTCTTCAGCCCTTTCGCTTTCCTTTGCCGCATGCACTCAATCACAGTCCATTTGCTTCTCATCTCTCCCACTGGCGAAAGGAGAATCAGTGAAATTCACTGCGAATCCCCCTGATTTCCCTCTCGCAATGCATCCTTGCGCCAAATTGCTACAAATAACTCGCGCCCCTTGTTTGCCGTCCGCCCACATTTGCAGATTCAGTTTCAGCAGACGATTTTAATTGCACTTAATGGTATTTGCGAATTTTAGCAGAACATCTCAACCGCAAGAGTGTAACAAAGTGGTGGTTTTCGCTGTGAGATTGAATTTCCCTGTTGGCTCTTGATTCTGAGGGTGTTGCTTCACTCCCGTGGATTAAGGAAGCGCGGTGAATTTGTATTCTTTCTTAAAACACTTCAAACCTATCAAGATATTAATTTACTGTAGTTGTTTGGTCTAAAATTAGTGACTTTTTCTCTATTAAATCACAGAAAAAGATGCTCAAATGGCGAATGTTTTTACCAGTTCGATTAGAACACTTGTTTTGACAATGCATTTTAAACAAGTTTCAATACAATCTTAAAGCAAAAATAATTCAAATCAACAGTTAAAAGACTAATTAGAAATAATTTGTGCAAAGAAACCCACTAAAATAAGGTATAAAAAGGAGGAAAACCATAAAAATAGTGTTATGGCTTGTTGTTCAACTGCAACAAGGTTATCTCAATCCCAGCCTTGTAGCCGAGAGCCTGAGAATCCGTAGAGAACGAGGGTCGAGGATGAGAGATACTAAATACTTCAGTATTTATTGCTATTGCTCTCTAAGAAGGGATGCCAGATGAGCATTCCTGCGCTATGCTAGCGACCTCTATGAGGTGCTACACAACAAATAGTTTCTCAATTTCTTAGAAATGTATAGAAAATGATGAAAATAATAGATTATTCTCATGTTTTATGTGAAAAGAAGCACGTGAGAAAAGTCCCTTAAGTACATATTCCACTTCGAATGCATCAAAAAGTGAGCAACACGCTTGAGTACAGACAGAAGAAGAAGAAGAAGATTTGAGCAAAATTTTCGAAGTCGTATTTCCACCTAATTGTGGGATGCAAATGGTTCAAATCGAAAGTTATTGTCCAAATTAGTAATGATGAGCATAAATTGGTTAACTAGAATTGAATTTAATAGCTTAAATGAGTATAAAAAGTTCCCTTAGTTGCTCAAAAATTGACAACTTACAAAAATCTGTGCTCACCTCATGTTGCTATATTCAAAGCTAGAAAACATAGTATCATAAGTCCCTTAGTGTTCTATCCAACTATGGTGAGGTTTTGGCTCAATTTGCTCAGTTGATCACAGTGTCATATTTAGGCAACAGGAAAAACCAATGATAAACGAGTAAAAGATTGTTAAACAAAACAGCGGAAATGTTGATTATGTGTAGGAAAAACTGCCGATTTTTGAGCAAAAAGGCAACTAAATCTATTCTAGTGAGCCAATTCGTCTCCATCATTACTAATTAAGTCATAGCTTTTCAATTTGAACTATTTCAACCCAATAATTAATTGGAAATATGATTTTGAAGGCTGTGCTCAGTTAAATGGTGGTGGGTTAACTCCCTTAGACCGACAGCTGAATGTGTTAATTCGCTTGAAATAAGCACACAATCCCCAGCTTTTCTTGCACTGTCCCTGTATAAATTTCACCACACATTCAAGCCCGAAATATGGAGATATTTCTGCCGAAGTTGCTGCTCGTAAAACGTACAAGGATTTCAATCTCCCCTCAGAAGATCCCTCGGCATAAGTGGAATATCTGTTCGCCACCCCCGCATTGTCTCCATTCTTCGCCCAATCGACAATTGTTGCCCCCGCCGAGCATGTGTTGCCGCCTCACTCTCCGCAGGACGAAGTCGTCCTGCGGAGATTGTGTGGCAGGCAGAGGAAGGTGGAAGTGAAGCGTGTGGGTGACCCGTGGCGTTGAGTCTCGACAGTCACAATATTTGCCTTCTTCGTCGAGGTGCTAACGAGCTGAGGAAACAATTTCACGGCTCGAGTCGATGATGACTTTAGCAGCGGAACTTGCATCTTTCGTCACACCACTGTTTGTGCACAGAAGATGAGGTCAAGGTGTGTCAATTTGGTGTCCATTGCGACAAAACTTGAGCACATCTGCACTCACAGATCGTCTCGGGAGCTTTTTTGTGCTCAACTTCGAAAAGTTTTAATTAAAATTCATGTTTATTCATGGTGTATTTCGCTGTTGTCTGTTGTACATAAAACTATAAATAAAAACTATATATATGTATTGTGGGACTGTGGAACGATGAGATAAGCACTGCATCAGTGATTTTCCACAAAATGAATTAGTGTGAATAAATTAAATTTTCAAATTGGAGCACACGAGAGAGAGATAAAAGTTTTCCAATTTTCCCCCGCCCGGGAAAAAGCAAATCACTTTTGCCGAGTGTTTTGTCTCTCTGGGAAATATTTTCGCCATTTAATAAATGGAAATTTGTTCTGGTTTGATGGTGATTACGGTGAGTGAATGTTGATGAGTTTTGTTGCTCAAAAAATGGGAATTTATTTCGGACGAAATATCATCATTTGCTTTTGGGCGTATTTTTGTAGAATATGTATGTTTTCCGAGTGGAATTATTCTGAAGATGAGTCAAAGAAATTCCCTCAATTGCCCAATGTTTCACATATGTCATCTTCACTATCAGCCCAAAAGCCACATCATTAGTCAGTGAGCGAAAATCGTTACGAATCATCGCTCTTTTCATCTGCAGCAAAAGGTTGCGTAACAAATTTAATTGTCTGCCGCGCTCAAGGCATGAAATGAACGTCAAAATTCATCGATCACTTTTTGCCTTTTGAGATGAGACCAATTTCTGGGCGACAACATAATCCATCATGCGACACAATTGGACTGATATTTTAATTTCGCCGCTGCCATTGAAGTGCTGGACAATTCAAGGATTCGCTTCCGGACCACGGATGGCGTCAAACTGATCCCCAAATGCTGCCAAAGACACGTGATTCACTGGCCGCGGGCTGTTTTCGGCGTACAAGAAGTGCTTCGAGAGTAAACGGCGCGCGGGTTTTGGAAAAGTGAAGGCGATATTGATAGATTTGTTCAACATGATCGCTAATTGTAAAACTCCTCGCTTTTGGCCCTTTCTAGTGGTCGGAAAAAGTGCTTTGCATGACGAACATTGCTCTTGAATTTCTCACTTACGCAAACATGAAATGATTGATCTGTTTGGCGTCTCTGCGGAATCAGTCTTGAGATCGCTATTCGGATTCTTTCACTGACAGCCTTAATGCGCAAACAGATGAGAGAAAAAGTACTTTTGTACAATCAATGGCGTCGAAACTCGAGTAAATTCAAGTCCAATAAGACTAAGAGTAAAGTTTTCTGTTCTTTTAGGCTTCGTCAAGATGTTATTTGCCTCCTGGGAAATGTGGATTGCGGAAAAATTACGATAAATGATGAATTATACAGATCTGAGAAAATTGTCTTCATGATCTGCTGAACTCAAGGGGCAGATATTATGGTCGAAAGTGGTGTACAACTTCACTGTGATAAAATATTTAGAATATCTGCATTGCAAAAGCTTCTTTTTTAACAAATTTAGGCATTTTCCAATATTTTTTTTGTTCAGAAAAATCAATTTTATTCCTTTTTCTAAGTTAAGTGATTAATTTAAAACTGATTCTGGCGATTAAATGACCTTTAAGATGAATTAAATTTGTATTTAAGCTGGAAATACATTCCTTTTCTTGGCAGAATTGAAGATTTGTATTTAAGAAAAGCTTCAAAGTGGTTCAAAAAAACCTCAAAAATGTAATTTTGTCTAGAAGAATGTCTTTTTGTTTCAAAATATCTGTGATTTGTGATTTAAAGTAGCAAATTAAAGCTATTTGTCGTGTAGAAATATTGTCATATTCGTTATAAATAAGTTCAGAGTGGATTTTTAAGCCGGATTCATAACCTCACAATTTGGTCAGAATTCTTCTAAGCATTTTCCAAAGACAAAACTAGAAAATGAAGACAGAAATTTGCCATGAACGAATATAACGAGCGTGTTGAGTTAGAAATGCGCGTAAGAAACAGTTGAGAAAGTGATGGAAAATGCTCATAAAAGCGTATTATTGTATTACTGAGGGTTAAATTCCTGCATTATCTTCTCTTCATCTGCGGATGCAAAGCAATTTGTCAATTGTGTAATTTCACCTGGGATTTAATGAAGTCGAGAGCAAGATTTAGAGGCTGTTTTACACCTCAATTCATTGAGCAATTGTATGGAAAATCAACTAATGAGATCTTTTACAGCGGATGCTGTTTGTCAGCTCTGTCAGGGTGTGATTTTATAGTTTTATTGGGAACACAAGCCACCTAAAAACGCAAATTACAGTCACTTTGAACGACTTTTGGAACCCGTCTATGAGCACAACACTCACCTTGGGCGCTGGCAAAGAGACTCGCGATCAGGGCGTATTTGGCGAATTTCTCCTTGTCGTGCCGCAAAAATCAACACCGCATCAATTTGCGCAAAGAAGTTTGGCCTCAAAGACAAGCAAATTGGTCAGCTGGTGGAAACTTCGGCCCTCAAAATATCGCGCAAAGTTGGCTTCTATTCAATGAACTTCTCTGAAGAGCATTCTTGCAGCGGCAAAATTGCGCTTAGCTGAACTTGAGCGTTGAACTCTTGAGGGAGTTCGAGGTTGAGTCTTCTCTCTCTTTGTGAAACACATGCCTTTCGAATCAATAAGTGACGGGCGGGATTGAACAACTTCCAGGCGTTCGGCAGGGATTTTGTGCAATTTTTGCTGACGGAGAAGTCAATGCAATACAATTGGGAAAAGGGCGAATCAATGGTTTCACCGTCCAACAGTGAAAGTGATCTCAATTGAATGTCATTTAAGGGATTCCTATGGTGCCAAAGAGGGTCGTGCTGATCGATGACAACCGCAGTTGATGCTGACAAATTGCCACCTCAACTCTGCCAATGTCATCATCGACTTTTTTCTTTTCAAAATGCATCGAAAAACATGAAAATTATGTTTGGCAGAACATAAAAACTCACACAAAAGCAAGATGAATATTCAGATTGTCTTATTCTCAAACTTTATGTCCATTTACCCAGTCTAAAGGCCGTTTTTGACGCCCAATTATTAGAATTTACGCCCAAGACGTGTTCTGAGGACTTTTCGGAGGCCAAAATGTCTGTTTTTGGACCTTCTTGAGGACAAATAGCTTGTTTCTTGTCCTGAAATGTGTTCTGAGGCTTCTTCTTGCGGCCAATTCGCCAGTTTTGGGCTCTAAAAAGTCCTCAAAAACACGTTCTTGGGAACAAATAACTTGTCTGACTTCCTTCAAAGGCTTTCTTGAGGGGCAATTTCTGTTTATTTGGATCTGAAACTTCATCAAAAAGGCTTTTTTGGGGACAATTTATGTGCATTCGAACTGGAAATGTGATCCAAAGACACTAAAAATGCCCCCCAAAAGACCTTCTTTCGCAACACTTTGCGTACAAAGTCCAGGGAAATTTTATTTATCGACTCTCCGATGGATTTTTCTGTTTAATTTGTCGCTCTGGCGATGCTCAATGCGATTATGTGGTTGTCTAAGTGGCTCTTGTGATTAATTGAAAGTCATGTTAGCAGCTTGTTTGTCTTCGGAGCGGAGCGATAAATCCAATAGCGCTTCCCGGATTGATTAGAATTAGAATGCATATTTGCTAAATGAACCCATCGCAAGACTCACTTCATGACTCCACATGAGAAAATCCCGCCGTTAAGCGCGACAATCGCGACAATTGAGTGGATCACGCGGTGTCTCGATAGCAGACACAGAACTGTTTCTGCCTCTGATATCCGCAAATCTCTTGCAACCGCAAATGTCGCGTTTGCATGGCGTCTGGATAGCGAAATTTTTCACCGCACACTGTCCATGTGCGGATGCAAATTAATCAGCTGAAATGTGTGGCAAATGCAGTACTTTGAGCCGCCGTGGGAAATGGGGAGGAAAAAATTAACGTGACCTGTCTCAGCGGCACATTTATGCGCGCATCGACAATAAACAATCCTTGAAATTGCTCACAAAACTCACGTGCGCGAAGCAGAATTTATCCGACTTGTGAGATTCCAGCGATTAATTGCCGCCAAGTCGGTGAAAAATGCCTCAATTCGAGACAAATTAAGGTGGGAATTTGCGAAAAAAATTAGGCTTTTATTCTTCAATTGCAACTGCGTGTTGTGCGTCGTCGTCAATTAATGACGCGCCATGTGAGATTTCTCTGCATTGCAAATTGTGTGCGCTAAATTACCAATTATTTGGCCAAAATTGCACAATTTTCAATTCATCTGCGTGCCGGCGAAATCCGTGTCAATGGAGGAGACGCGAGATGACGAAGAATGGTCCGATATCATGCCACACCGCCTTAGATAACACTTCTTTCGCCAACTTCGCACCACCTGCGAAAGCCATGTGGAGAAAAGTAAAAGTCTGAGGCGCTGTAATGTGACTTTTTTGCTCCTCCTCGCGATTGGTGGTTGATTGATGTGAGATGCTTGATTGATGTTTTGGGAGAAATTTTTCTAATAACTCCCAAATCAATTTCGGCATCCGATTAGAGGCACCGTGGAAATGACCATCATTCTTTGCTCAGCCGGAGGTTGTACATTTCCATGCCCAGAACTCTCCAAATTGCTCGTGTGTCTTCGTGAGCGTTCATCGACCCATAAATTATACTTAAAGAAGTGCGTTTTTTCTTCACTCGCAAATTGCAATCCAACTCAAGGGGCAGATATTGAGGTCCGAAGTGGTGTACAGTCAATTCTATTGCTTTTTCGAGGTTATGTGATTGATTTAAAACAATTTCTGGGGATTAAATGTCCTCCAAAATCCTTAAATTTGTGTTTCTGATGGCACAGTTGAGCATTTGCATTCGAAATACTTGAAATTGACTAAATTTCAATAAATTTGCTAATTTATTTCCGTGATTTGTGCTTGAAATTCACTATATTTATTCTTTTTTAACGTTTCCAAAAATTCAAATAAGTCTTAGAATTAATTTTGTAATCAAGAACATTAAAATCAATTCATTTTATTTTAAACAGCTTAAACTCCTTGACACGGAAAAGCAAGATCAGATTGTGGGTAAGTTATTGAACTTATCGACAATTATCGACATCAAATGCGTGAAATTTATTTCTCAATACAATTTTATACGCTAAGAAATAGTTGAAGGAGCTTTAAAAGAAGAACAGAAGTGTCAGGAAGTGGTGTACAGATTTAAGGCATATTATCTCTCCCTTGATCCAACCTTGGCACTTCGGCAAGGTCTGACTTTCATTGTGAAAGTGTTCAGTTTGATTGATTAGCTCAGTTGTTTTGAGGTTTGTCTTTAAGGAATCTCTCTCAGTGATTTGAAACTTTTACACCCTCTCTGAATTCAAATGATGGTTAGTCCTGAGCCTAATGGGCATTTTAAAACTATTAATGCTCTCACCCATCTTATTTATTTACCCTCCGCAGATTGAGGCAAATCTGCAGTTGACACTTGAACTTTGATGTTTTCAATATCATCTAGATTTGATTTAATCTCTCCCCCAACTTTGCTTTTTTCTCAATCACCCTCGAGGGTGGTTTACTCTGCATTCACAGGCGTTGTGTGTGCCTAAAAGCTAAAAGACTCTCTAGGGAGTGAAAAAACGTATGGTTTCTTCCCTTCTCTCTGCAATGCACGACATGGAAAGAGGGTGGAAAAAAAATCTTAATCACCCGCCAAAAGCATGGAATTGAGATGGAGATGAGAAAAAATCATCACTGGAAGTAATTTGATTAATCGAATTACTTTTCAATGAATTGTCATTAGCATTTATTTGATGGCCAAGGGCTGAAGTGTGTCGGCCTAATTTATTCCGTGGGCGCCCAATTTGCGACAGAGGATGTGCAGGAGGGGGTGGAAATTGAGGAAGAGCATATTGAGAGGAAGTGTCAAATGTGGTGGTGCAATAAAATCTATGCAAACATCGGGAACTGGGATGTGTTACTTGGAGTGTATCAAGTGCAGGCGCATTTCCCGAAAGGCATTCGGCGCCAGTGAGTGAAAACCCAAAGCAATTTACACATTTGCATCCTCAACAGTGTAATAATTCACAAACAGAGTATTCCCGCCTTTTCTCGTATCTGTCACTGCCAGACCATCAAACCCTCGTGCTAAGGCCCATGCGAACTCCCAAAGCATGTCCTTAAATGCCTGACAATGGATTTGTGCCGAGACGCGAAGGGAACGCAAGTGAGACAACGCATTTGGGAAAGGTGAAAGTCGAGCATCTTACAGAAATATCCATCTTGGCATTTAAATCATCGCAAAGCGAACTCATGCTTTTTCTCACAGTGTGGAAAGTCATCAAATGGCGCAATATACGTATTAATATCGAATAAAACCTATTAGGGTTGGTTTCCACATCTCAAACACTCAAGGCAAAGACTCTCTTTCTCTCGCTCTGCGTTTTCGGAGAAAACCAGGGACTCTTCGCGTTTCCACCGAAAGGCGTCTGCGCACACGAAAGACGCTAGATGGGTGAAAAAATGGGCGGAGTTTGATTGCCATGTACAGCAGGAAAATTTTAGTTCTCAACCCCGCGCGTTTTTTTTACGCCTCGCCAAATCGCCATTGAATAGCGTGCAGAAAAAAGATATGTTTCTATATGTGGGAAAATTGTGCGAGAAATTACCTGCGAATCCTTGAGTCCTAGACGCTCTGCGAGCTTCTTCCTGTCCGGTTTGCTGATATACTTCTGCATCTGAAACCTCTTCTCCAGGCCCTTTCGCTGAGAATCTGGTGTGCAAAATGGACGGAGAAAAGTTGTTACGAAAGAACTTGCACGACATTATAAAAGAGGTGACATTTCAGCAAGTGTAGAGAGTTATTAATTACTCTTTCAGCTGCACATCAGCCAGCAAGGCGATGGATAATATTGTGTGAATGACATACTCGAGAAATGTCTTGAGAAACTGTCTCCGAGCATATGGCGTTATTATGTGTTATGCTGTATCCTTTGGCTTCATCCCAAGCAGCATCAATGTGGAATTGTTGTGTAAGCGCACAAGCGAGAAATACAAATCATTTCTTGTGAATTAATTGAATAAATCACTTGAAGATTGTACAGCGGATGAATGCAATCTTCACGGTCTATAATTTCTGAACATCCGAACACGATTCAGCCTCTTGTCGAGATATCTCGCCCAATTTTTCACGGATTCCCCCGAAATTGGGCTCAAATGATAGATTTTGTAATTATCTACAACTTTGTGAAATATTGTGGGAATTTTAGATCACTTCTGGTTGGTTAAAAATGATCTTTTCTTCGCCACTCGGTAAAAAATTCGCCGGTTTTTTGGCCACAATATATTAAATATCTCCGAAACGAAAAGTCTTTTATGTCAGATTATTTTTCTTATATAGAGTACTTCTGGGGCTACATTTCTCCCATACATGTCAAAGGGATATTTCTTCTCCGTCTGTCTGGAAAACAGGGTTTTTCCTCGACAAGTTTCGCTTTTTGTGCCTCTTTTCCTTTCATTTTCATCGGTGAAGGCGTGGAAGCCTTTAAGGAAACCGAAAAGGAGTTCAGTATTGTGCCTGGAATACACTCCAGTTGATCCAATTGATGCTGCTCGGGAGCTGTGTGAACTCACCTGAGAACACCGCCCGGCGCATCATCCCCCGGCGGGGCTTCCCTCGCGTGGAGTGCGCCCACGGGAAGCCCTGGCCCGGAGGCAGGGGAAACACCTGCGGTCCGCTGCCACCTGAAAGGCACACAGAGATCTGAGTGAGGCGCCAGAGGCGTGCTCCGGAGGCTACCCACCTCCCATGTAGGGGTTCCGGCAGTGCGCCAGGAGGGAGTGCAGATGCGGGTGGTTGAGGCCGTGGTGGAGGAAGGGTGTGGGGCGGCTGGCCAGCGGCTTCGCGATGACTTTATTGTCGCGCGAGTGCTGGAGGCGCGCCTCGTCCGCGTCCGTGCCGTTGGCGGGATGCTGGAGCCCGTTCTGGTGCGGCGCCGCCAAGGGGTGAGGCTCACCCTCGCCGCCCACAATGTGCTGCTGCTGATTGCCATTCACGAGGAAGCCTGGATTCGCTAATTGGTTGTGGTGGATTAAATTATGTTGAATGTAAGGCCAGATATGCGGTTGGATGAATTCTGCGGAATGGAAAAATATTCACGTGTATTAATTGGCAATCGAGACGTTTTTTTCAACCTACGCGTCGTTGCAACTATATTCTCATAACTTATTAATTAAGCTGTTATTGTTATGAATTCGTAAAACAGCAGATTCATGTAAAAAATTAAGAAAAAAAGACTGTGACGATGTTTTTAGATTGATTAGAACAGTTTGATTGCATTTATCTGTCTATTTGTGCACATTTCTATGCACCAAATTGAGGTTATGTGTTTCCAAACATCCTTCAAACTTTTTCATTGATCATTGAAGAACATTTCCTTACGTTGAAGTGGTTGAAAAAGGCCAGAAACTGGGCGGAAGTTAGAATAATTTACCCTCTAAACACTGTTAAAATCGCAGCTTAAATTCATATTTAATCCATTCCTAACTTCTACAACACCAACTTGGTAGTTTTTATGAATTGAAATACGAAATCCGTAATGTTGCAACGATCCAATCATCAATCAAAATAATAAGCAGTAGATTTAACTAATAATTTTCCACTTGATTTAAACTTCTCTCGTTCAAGCAAATCCGCAATGAATGGGAGGTAAAGTAATTTCCACATCCCGACGAGAGTTCTTCCGCCAAATTTCCTCTGCGAACGGTGAAAATTCTGGGTGTAATATTTTACAGTCGAGAGCGGAACTAAATGCCGCCAAAAGGCGTTAATTCAAGTGAGAAATTCACGCTTCACCTCAACGCGCTGAGCTTTTCACGTGTGGCTGGCTTTTCGCCTCCGGGGCGACTTCACAGTGGCTTACAACCCCCATTTCGGGGGTGATTCTTACAATTTCCGCACGTGAAGGCGAGGAAATAATTACAGCCAAAGGGAGGAACTGGAGAGAAGAAAAAAAACTCCACTCGTGCAGCTTTCAAACTTCCGGCTATCGGAAATGCAGAGTTATTCTTTCCTCTTGCAATGAAAGTTCTATTCTCGCAAGATTCTCACGATATTTCACTCGTAAGTACATATATTAAAAAAAACAGTTTTGTTGGGAAGAAAGTTAAACATTTGAGGTGTTTGTATTTTAATGTGTTCGATGCTATCGCATTAATTAATTTAATCATGATACTCGGCGGAACAATAGATTAATTATCCAGTGTCAACTCATGCATACATATAATGTGTGTAAACATAATGGACAGTTTGTGTAAAATGAAAAGCGATGATCTGGGAAAGTGTGATGAAGAACACAGGCAAAACAAGGGGAAAGTCACTAGTCGATTGAAAAAATCAAAAATTCACAATTTGAATAAAAAAAAAATTATTTTCAACGGTTAATTGCGAAGTAAGCAAAAAATTATTAAAGATTTCAATCAATCAAGTTATTTTTCTGAATATTTAATAAAAAATTTAAATATTTGATTTTCTTCTGCATTTATCGCCATCAGAGGGAAGCATTGCTGGCGTGGAGGACGCCAAAATATCAATTTTTCGCATGATTTTCTCTCTCTTTTTACGAATTTTCACACTTTATGACTTCCTGATGCGATCCTGATCAGGAGAGAAGGAATTTTGAGGCCAAGAGTGAAGTTTTTCACAGTTGATAAGTCAATAATATTGTCAAAATAAGGAATAAACCTCAAAATTGAAATAAAAATTACATAAAATCAAGAAATGATAGAATAATCACAAAGGTTATACTCTCAAGTCGCGAGTGATTTTCCCCTTGGAGCAAAATGTCCATAAAATGGATGGAATCGGGTGGAAAATTAATAGGTAAATAATCGCAAAATCTCACACTTATTTTCGCATTACGCCCATCGAGAGTCCATCATAGAATATTAGCAGCAATAAGACACAATGCAGCAGCTATAAAAGCGTGTGTGGCACAAAAAAATCCATGTTCGGAAGCAAAAAAAAGAAGTCCATGAACAGCCCATAATTGTGAAATGTGCATTTTGGGAGTGCATAAAAAAGGCATTCTCTCCTGCGTGTTGTTTTTCAGGATGTTTTCGATCGTTTTCCCTTCCCCACAGGACAATGGTTGGGATTTATATTCTATTATTTTATTTCCATCCCATCGGTTTGTCGGATATTTTTTGCGCAATTCCCGATGTGCAATTGGTTCTTCTGCACCGCACAGGCCAAATGGCAAAAAAGCCCGTGGATTTGGGCGACAACATCGGCAATAATAATTCATAATGCAAAACGCAACGATGATTGCTGTTTTTGCAGCCTCCGTGGCGGTTCGGGGGAAAAAGAGGAGGATTAAACGTGGTGCAAGAATAACAATGATCGTGTTTACAATAAATAGCAAAGTACGAGTTGAGATCCCTCGAGGGACGCAAGGATATCTCCACACACTCCTTTCAATAGCGAGGATTCATGAGTCTTAGGACAGAATAAATAACTGTTGCAGGACGTTTAAATGGAGTGAAAAATCTCTCTGGAAACGCCTCTATTTTGATTAGGGATTTCATTTGGTGGAAATAAATCCCATTGAATTTTTAACACAATCTCGTGGTCTAAAGAGGTTTGCATTTGAATTAGACTTAACCAGGCATTCACTTAATGGAATATTAATGGTTTCAATTTATATTAATGGAATATTAATTCTTATTTTGAATAAACTTATTATCAATATCATCATTTTCCACGTTAAATTGCAAAATAATTCATAATTGAATATTTTCAGCAAATTATGTTGAAATAAATCAAATTATATTTAAATATATTCTGAATATTGAATTAAGAATCAAATATTGATGATTTTCTCTATATATTGCCGCCAGAGGGCAGCAAAGTTGATGACATAAGAAAATACAAGGAAGAAATACAACCGAAACATTCTTTTCGAGTTTAAACTGTTGCCGTTTGGCAGTAATATATGAAGAAAATAATCCAAAAAATTATTGAAATAATTATGGAATAATCCAAATTTGAACGAAAATCACGAAAAGTAAAAAATAAAAATGATGGAATAATCACAAAGAACATGATTGAGTAAAATACATACTGAATAAATTTAAAAAATGTCTCATAAAACTTCCATGTAAATTAAGAAATTAAGAATATCTGGACATCTGGCAAGAGTTAATTCTAATTAGGAATTCCACTCGAAGGCCACCAAGGATTTCCTATTTGGAGTCTCTGAAATGATAAATGCAAAATCCGGCCGGGAAACGGAATGCGGAAAAATGGGGAGAATGGAAATAAAACGACATAATTACGCTGCGAGCAGTGTATAATTTCCACTGGGGCGCTTGCCGGGCGGGGAGCCGCCCCGAGACTAATGGCAGAGACTGCGGCAGGATGGGTAAATGGTGAACCACTTTGGAGTAATATATAAATCGCGTCAGCTGGTGGCTCACTTACGAGACGCTCAGCGTCCCTCTTTTAAACAATGCATGTATTTCCAGAGGGGGTTCTTTCTGCAGCACGTATCGCCGCCCCCGGAGAGCATTTCCCGAGGTGGGGGCGGAGGGGTGAGTACATAAATCTGTGCCGGAGGAAACACCACAGCGCCAGATTCTTCGACGTATCTTTTGGCCTTCTTGCCACCGACGGCTGTTTCAGTCCAGTAATTGCTCGCCCCAAACCACCCACCGGCAGACAATTGGAAGCAAGTGCTCCAAATCGATTGCGCCCATGGCAGGAGCGCCCACAGATCCATTGGCAGGAAGCAATTTATATACACTCCCTCACACAGCACACTTTTATGACGCTGTGTGATTTCCAATAGAGTGCCGAAGTGCCAAATAAATTTCCAATGCGCGGTTTATACTCTTTTATTGCGCCACTCTTTCATCTTCTCAGCCATTTGGGTATGATTATCGAGGTGATTATTGGATTTATGCCGTCGTTTGTTCTCACATCATTTCACCCCACTTGAGGAGGTGGTTTATTGGAGAATCCAATGCCATTGTGGAGCCACTGAGAGGGTCAATATAAAGCTACATTGTTGGGCGACCCGGAAAATTCTGTATGCAAAACATTCAATTGGCAATTGATCTTCATCAATAATTATGCGCTCAAAGACACTTTATTTACTGCAAATTAATATTGAAAATACCTTTAAGGGGCTCTTAAAAAGTGCAGAATGAGTTCGTTTATTAAGTAAAGTTAAGTGATTTTATCCTTAAGAAGAAATTTGGAAAGATACATTTCGAAATCAACTGAAATGCTCCTTTTTAGTTTAAAGGTATCGACAATGAAATTTAATCAAGTTTTAACATAATTTTAGGTGTAAAATAGTTAAAATCGACAGTTTAACAACTAATTAGTCCAAATCAGTCCTATTTGCCCCTTAAAACTGCTCTAAAAAGGAGAAATTGCACGCAATTCGTATCGATAACTGTCGGTAATTGTCGATAACTTCAAGAACCTCGACGTAATGGGATAACTCCCTAAGAATTAGGCTCTATTCCGGCCTTATCAACACTAAATCCAACTTAGAAGCAGTTGAAAATAACGATCTTATGTTCAAGGAAGACGGGAAGGAGTGAAATGAAGCGCATCCTTACCATTTCTAACTTTGACACAGTCCTTCTTATCACCTAAGATCGCAGATACACTGAACTTGAGCACTGGCTTGGCGGTCTCCTTGAGGATGGTCTCTTTGCCGTTGACAAACTCCGCCGCGCCGCACTTGTCGCACTTGAACTCCTCGTGCGTGTCACTGTCCATGGCGCGCCGCGTGAAGTGGCCGCACTTGGCGCAGCACACCTCCAGGGCCATCCGGCCGTTGAGCATCGTGTAGGTCCTGAGGAGGTCCTCGGACAGGCCGAGGCGCTCCTCCGGCTGATGGCTCAGCTGCATGTCTGAGCGCGTGGGCGAGTCGCACAGTGAGTCCTTCAGGTCCGTCGACGTGGTCTCCGATTCCGTGTCCGACACCGAGTCCGCCTGCTCCTCCTTGTCATTGAGGATATTGTCGACGAGGAAGGCCGTGGACATGTTCACATGGAGGCACGCACGGTCATTTCGCCACGTGTTAATTGCTTCACCTGATGCACCTCATTTGTCACTCACAACCGCAGTTTTTGCCGGCGCTCAATTGCTTATCACTCGCGCACACGTCCGCGGAACAATCGTGGCTGGCAAATGAGCAAACTCTGCCCTGCTTTCCGTGTCGGGGGTTTGTCGAGGAGCGTGCTCACGAGCCCGTGTCTCTGGCGGAACTGAGTGCAGTGTTTGGGAAATCCAATTGAGGACAATTGAATTTCGGTGGGATCGGGCGCGAATCCCACCCCTGTTGGGCGTGCGAGCGAGACGCACGACAAGGGTGGAGAAGCCACGAAAGGAGCCTCGAGATGATGTGCACAAGTGGGATGGATTACGGCGTCCCAGACATCCTTCGGCTGCCGTGGTGCGCGAGTGAGACGGCACCATTGGCGGCATTTTTTAAACAGAAGGCGTGGTTAGTTGCGAGTCCTTTTTATTGTATCCTCAATGATGATGGGTACAAGATAAGTGAGTCTTTTATGCATACGTTTATGCATGACAATGATTGAATAAAATGGGGTACGACCGGGGCAGGGGGTGCGCCGCAGCGTATTAGACTCCCATGTGGGGCCTTGTTGTGCTCTCGTCGCCGCGGAGCCCCTTTTTCCACCACCACCACGCCATGCCGCCTGGCGAGATAGCAGCACTGGAGCTCACAATGCTGGAGCATAAATCCATGCGGAGTAAATTGCTTTTTTGATTCCGTGAAAGTTATCTCCAGGAAACCGATTCGGAAAATACATGTGAGGATTTAAATGGATTAAGAGGAAGTTTTCGAGGTAATTCTGAGAAAATAAAATTAATCTTGTGATTATGCAATCTCTTTTTTCATACAAATTCCCATTATTTTCTATTATTATGCCACAGAAGAATTAAATATTTTATTATTCATTGAATTTTTTTGACTATTCTCTGGGCTATTTAATTGAAATTCAAATAAATTTAAACAAATTGATTATTCTCGATTCGAATACTGAACGCAGGGATTTATCGAGAGAAAACCGCACCTTATCACAGATCTTTAGATTGAGTAATATTTCAATACAATTGCTTTATTTGTTATTTTATTGGATTTTATATACGCAAATTAAAATTAATCTTGGCGCCATGTGCCTTCACAATTTTTTACGACCCCCTCCCAGACGTGATGACACATTTGACACCCCACTTCCTGCTTGTCTAAACTTTTCTTCGGGGGAAAAACAGGCGTTGGCGCAAAAAAGCGCGCCATTGTGCAGCATCCGCGGCAATTTTAACTTCGCCAATTCATTTATCGCCCTGACCAAGTTTGCGCCGAGGCGGGGCGTGTGTAGAAAGAATAATAATATTATAATAAGGTGAATTTGGATTTTATTATTATATCCCTCGCTCATATACCTCACTCAATAGTAATAAAGATGAAAATTTTATTAAAAGATGTCTCTTGCAGATGTCACCATAATCTTTTATCATTCTCCTTTTATTCCTTTCTCCAGCTATACGTACACAAACACCCTACTATATGTATTCATTGTAAGAGACACGCCGAAGGAGCGCCAAATAACTGTCGATAAGGATGGAAAGAGAAGGGAAAACTTTTACCAAGGGGGAGATATTATGGTGAGAACTCGTGTACAGCTCGAGTGAAGAACTTAAGAAGTGGAAGTCCTTTAATATTTGCAACATTCAATGTTACTAAAGAGTTTTTAAAAGTTCCAAAAATTTTTCCAGCCTCTTTAACAGATGCATAACCTCACATTTTATTTTTTAAAAATTGTTTACAGCCTTCAAGAAGTATTCCTAAGTCGAAGTGCTTCAATATTTCCTTGTTGAAGCTTCCATGTTAAAATAAATTACCGCAAATTTTGAATTTCTTCGCAATATGAGCAAAAAATTGTTTTTTTTTAGGTTATGTGATAATTAAAGACACACTTTGTCACTAAATAAACTTCAAAATCATTCATTTATGCGCCAAATAATATTGAAAACTGATGAAGATCACAAGCTTTCAAAGTTAAACTGCGTTAATAATGCTAAAACTGATCATAACCTCTAAAAAATTGTTTCAAGATTCAAAATTGCCAATTTTAAGAGTTGTTTGATTATTTCTTTTTCTCTTGAATAGCAAATTTCATCTTATTGCCGATTAGTCTTGTCTTTAAAAGATTCTGAATAAGTTTCTTTCAATGTTTCTTTTCTATATTTCAAGATAATTTTTAGGTTTTGTTGCGATTGAAAAATTTTGTATATCAAAATATTCACAGGAAACTTGAAATATTTCTAAAATACTGCTTCTACATAAATTTTCAAGGTCATACAAGTCAAAAATTACGTCTTTTTAAGGATAAACTTAAAAACGCATATTTTAAGCACTGGCAAAGTTCTTAAAGTGTCTGTGATTCTTCATAGAAATTGTGAAAGTGGTCAGTAAATGGTACTATCTCCCCCTTGACTTTTAGGACGAGCACAACAATTGACGAAGAGGGAATTAACAGGGACATTTTCCTCGAGGGGAACTTCTTTTCGCATCAAACGCACACTTCATCGATTAGTTAAATCATAAAACAATGAATAAAGGCAAGTTTTGATATGAGAAAAGGATTTATGGTATTGGAAACAAAGCGGATGACGCAATTTTGCATAGTTGATTGCATTAATTAGACTCGCGTCTCAGTATCAAATGTCGCGCTCGGGAAACACCCCTGAAATTTATGAATACAATTTGAATATGGAAAAATAACCTCCCTCATGATAAATGTTATAGGATTCACTGGGCGATGCAGTGGTAAATCACGGGATGAAAGGATTGTTTTGGCGTGAAGTAAAGTGAAACTAATCGAATTCGTTTCGCTAGAGAATTATCTATTTGACCGTGTAATTTTTCGCCTTCAAAATGAGGTTTCATCCTTCAAAATATTTATAGGGTTGGAGACCATCTGGAAAATTTCCACGAAATCCCCAGTGCCTTAATCGCGCAGCTCAATTGAGTCACTGTGTGAAATTTGGTGGTACAATTTATTGGACAATTTCTGCACACACACACACAATCGCCTCACTCTCCAATTGCATTCAATCCTTCTCAGCCGAATTTCCAGCATCTGGCCAATTAACTAATGAGAATTCTATGCCATACAATTTCCAGCATGAAACTCACCTCTTGCTGTACATTTATATGCATAGAGAGCATATTTCAGCGCTCAAAAGAGCAGCGCATAAATTGAAAATCCTTCATGTTTATCAAAGTTTGTTTGTGCTGGCAGACATGAAAAAAAAAATGTTGCAACCCTTTTTCTGCATTGTATTTCGCCTCTTTTGTATCTTCCACTCTTTCTCCATAACATACAATGAAAAAAAAAGTCTCTCAACTCTCTGGAATCCTCCATGTCAAAAAGTTCCCATTCAGCGATTTCAAAATATTTATCAAAGTTTAAAAATCATTTTTTATCTCACTGCTCACGTCTGCAGCAGTAGCAATTGGCGCATTTTCACTCCATATCCTTTCTCCTGATTCCCACCCAGTTATGCTGCTACCAAACCGACTGTGAATGAGAGACGATTTCCATTTAGTGGATGCTGAATTTGGGTCTAAGAGAAGTGCTTTATTGAGAGTTCACTGATATTGTGATCATCAAGAGTCAAAATTCCCATTTTATCGTCCGCTAAGTTGATAATATTGTTCAATTTCCATTATTTTTTCATATTTTATTTTATTTTTCTATTATTATTTCATATGAACATTGATTATGAAACTCTTTTTTTCAAATTTCATGTATTTCTTTAATTTTATTTAAATTTAGAATTTTTTCTAAGTATTTGTTCCGTATTTAATATTTTTCACAATTATACCCAATTTAAAATGTCTTGATTGAAGGATGTAAAACAACTAAAAGGACACAGAAAAAATGTCCTTTCGTATGAATTTCTGAATTAATTTGCAAAAACCGAAGTTAAATATTCAGAAAATCTAATATTTCTTCTTCAATTTCATCAAACATCTTGAAAACTGCAGCAAAAACTATTAAAAAAATCGAGTTCTCATAGTTTTCAGCCCAATATAATAATTTTAAAATATAATATTTTCACACACAAAGGAAGACATCAAGAATTATCCAAGAAAAAAAAAACTAAAATTTCAACTCTCAAAAGTTCAATTTTGAATGATATTGAAATGTGACGCCAAAAAATCCTTATTAACATAAGAAATTCCGATTTAAGCAACAAAATCAATGGAACCCCTTGAAAAATCACATGAAAACATTTCCCAAAGAAACCTTCATCAATTCATTTGATTAATTTACAAACTGTTCTCTGTGTTGACGCCGAAATCCGGACGCGAAAAGAGTAAAAGTATCGCTTATTATTACTATATTTACGACTCCACAAAAGTGCCATTATTTAGTGCTGTAAAAAATGTATGACTATTGAAAAAAAGGGGGCTGAAAATGTGCAAAAATTCAGCATTGTTGTTAACACGGGAAATAATCGAGGGTTGTGATGTGATTAATTTTCGAGTAATGTACCACTAAACTGTTTTTTAATTAATTTCCCTCTCTCTCTCACCCCCGGGGAGTAATCTCTGTCGATTTGTCTTGCACTTTCTCGAGGGGTTGAAGAGGGGAAAAGAACGTCTGTTTTGTGCAGAAAATAAAATCATCTCAACTCACATTTTCTCAATAATAATTCCGTGAAGTGAACTTGAAGATTAATAGTTAATACAATTCCTAACATTATATGTGAGTTTTTTCTTCTCCTGCCCTTGCATTTTGGGTGGAAAAATATTGGCAGAAAGAGGGATGAAAGGAGGCCAAAACATTGAGCATGAAGGGGTGAATGGAGAAATTGACTTTCTTCTGCAACTTTCATTACACACCATTTGTCATTACACATTCAATTTGTGAGAAATTACTCTCTTTGTCCGAATCATGCAACTTTTGCGCCCCAAATGAAGGGTGTGTTGTCGATTTCATTCAAGAAAATCATCTTTTTATCATAAATATTCAACTGATCGGCTGAAGAGAATTATTATTTTACCATTCAAATTACTTTCAACCCTCTTGCAAATGCTCTAAGGGTGGATCAAGTGTGAGAAAGAACATATTGATTGCGTAATTGAATGAATGACATATTGGCAAAATGATTTATTCTTATCAATATGTCTCCTTCAATTGCAATTTCTCGCAATATTTGCTAAATAATTAAGTCCACTCGCCGTCTAATTAGCCTCAGACACTTTCGCTCCAAGAGTCCCTCAATCTAATTAAAAGGCGTTATAAATGAGCGCGCAATGAATGACACACAATGTGCTTTGAAATATCATAATTTTATTGGCATAAAATCAGGGGCTGTGGAAAATCCTGAGCATCGGCACCAATATCGCTCCTTTATTGCTGTTTAGCATCTGTTACCGTGGCGTTCAG